TAACTCCCTATCCTTTCAGTTGTAAAGATAAGCTTATTTATTCATGAAAGCCTTTGGAGGGCTGTTTCAAACTTAATACTAATAGATCCAAGAATAATTTAAATGTGGGTTGTGGTGGTACTATTCAGGATTATAATGGTTTTGTAATTGTGTCTTTTGCAGGTCCCTCCACTGCTAATAATGCTATTCATGCTGAAATGGAGTCTTCTTTTAGCATCCAATTATGCATTTCCCTAGGCATTACTAATATTTGGATTGAAGTTGATGCTTTGCTCTTGATTAATTATCTTGAAGGTAATACTTCTCCCAATCATGCTAATTTCTATATTATAAGGGATATTATATATTGGCTTTCCTTCATTACTTATTCTATTTCTCATATCCTAAGAAAGGAAAATGTAGAGAGAGTTGCTATTTGCATGTTTTACATTCTTGCAACTTGTATTATTTTGATGATTTCAAATATTATTATTTTATATATCTCCTAACACATTTTGGAAGATTTTCTTTTGCTCTAGTGTGTACTAACATTTCAGGAAAATCAACTCCAAGCGATGAAGACATCAAATTATTCATTTATAAATTATAAGTTTTGAAATAAGAGGGAGTGATTGTAACTGAGTGAAAAATCACAACACACACTCTTGGGGGAACAATTTTTGTGAAATGATCGTACGGGACGAATATGGTTCATACGGGACGATCATGTCAATTAACCCCTAGGAAGAGCAATGGATCGAACAGGCGGGTAGAAAATTTTTCTAAGTCCTAATCATCCAGGATGAATTTTATATTCGTCCCGGGACGAACGTCCCTGGATTTGCACCTTGCACTGTTCGTCCAGACGAAAAGCATGGTTCATACTGGGACGAAACTCTCTGTTTGAGATCGTACAGGACGAAATGAACCTTCGTCCCTAGACGAAACTCTATGTATAAAATTTATTCCAGGATGAATCTTGTTCGTCCCAGGATGAATCTTGTTCGTCCCAGGATGAATCTTGTTCATCCCAGGACGAAGTGAACCGACTTACCTCAGTTGGTTACGTTCTGTAGAATTTTGGGAATCGACCTATATAATAACCATTTCGTACCGGACGAACCTAGTTCGTACGAGATGATGAGCGTGTACGAACATAGTTCATACCAATATATAATAGGATCGTTTCCGACACTTAAAGTAAAATCATCCGGGATGATCCACGGTCGTACGAGACGTCCACTGCGTACATAATTGAAAACTTATAGTTTTTGGGC